CTGTGTATTTTTAAAAGGATCCATAATTCATAGAGCAATATTAATATTTAAAATTCTTTTGGACAAGGGTTTTAAAGGAGCTGGCCTGGGAGGACTGGTTGGCCCATTTCTCATGTATTTGTGCAAGCTGAAAAGGGAATCAAAGCGTTTTAATTGATAGTTTTCACTAAAGCCAACCGGCCCCTCCTTTTCACTAGTTGGTACAAGGCAGCCAAGAGTTCTCGGGACAAGCCTTCTTTTATCATTTATGCCCTTTGAAAGATGGCCGATTGTGTTTGAGGATCCTGTGTCCTTTAAGGGAAGACTGGGCCCTTTATCTGGTGATGGTCGCTTCTGGGCTGTGTGCGCTGTATCCAGGGCTCACTGACTCAATGTCCTTTCTGGTTTGCTTTTTCCGAAGGACCCTTGTCAGGGCTGAACGATCTGGCCTTTGGCTTTTGTGATCTGACTTCACTGAAGATGACAGTTTACAGGAAACTTATGAGAAATGGTGTAGGGAAGAATAACTCTCAGTGGGTCTTAGTTGGAACCAACCATTGTAACGAAAGATTAAGAAGAAATAAAATTATTGACATATTTCATGTATGCATGGGGTGGGGAGTGAGGGAGCTTGGATTCCAGCTTGTCGAGCATATTCAGCAGAGAAGGGTCGATTTTTAAAGTGACAAGACAGACATAAATCCCTGGGTCTCAAGGGTGGCACCTCAGGAACAGCACATAAGTGACAGGCGGAGGCTAGTTATTGACACTTGTTCTTGTTGCAACTTGTGGTTACCATCCACAGTAAGGTGCAGGAGTCTTCAGTGGCCAGTGCTCTTCTCTCTGGTTGAATTAGGAGATGCTTTTTGTCTTATAACTCTGTGACCTGCTTTTAGGCTTCAAATAAGGGAGGCTGAGATCGTTCATGATTCTGCTGCGCCCTAATTGTCCTCAGCTCAGTGTCCCTTACATGTATGGACCAGGCTTTCTGGCTCCCTAATTTGCTTAATGGCCTTCAGCGCTTCTTAATGTGTAAAGTATGAAGTTGCCAGGTCTCGTGGTCCCCTTCCTGCCTTAACTTCCACCTCACATTTCTCTGAGTGGGCAGCTGCCTCCTTTCTTCGGTACCTACTACACGGTTTTGAACGTCTTTGCCTGTCCCTCCCCTCTCTCTTCTTGACCTGACACACTCCATCTCCTTTGCTAAGAGGTCTTAGAGCCGGGGCAGGACGGGACTCCATGTAATGCGAGTCTCTCCATTTGAGCTGCAGTTTCTTTACTGTGTCCTCTCAGACTGTAGACTCCAGGAGATGGTACTCTCTTGGGTGCTTCTCTCCATCTTCAGGGTGTCTTAGCCTGTGGTGAATGTCCAGTGCATGCCTAGTGAGCCGAACTGCAGCTGCACATATGCTGTGATGGTTCATCTTGACGAGCTGGTGATTGGACTGAGATATACCTACCGTATTAGTCTGTGTGTATCCATAAGGGCAATTCCAGAGACAAAGGGGGAAGACTAGCTCTGATTGTGGGCAGCCCATTCCAAAAGGCTGGAGCCCATCCATGGCCTCCCTCCCTACCTTCATAGATGTTCTCCCTCTGCTGTCTGGCTTTCATGATGTCACGTGCTTAGTTTTGCCACACCCTCCATGCTGTGATGAACTATAGCCTCAAGACCATAAGTAACAGTAAACATTAGCTCCCCCTCCCCTTTTTTAAAAAAAGATTTATTTATTATGTGTACAGTGTTCTGCCTGCATGCCAGAAGAGGCCACCAGATCTCATTACTGATGGTTGTGGGCCACCATGTGATTGCTGGGAATTGAACTCAGGACCTCTGGAAGAGCAGCCAGTGTTCTTAGTCTCTGAGCCATGTCTCCATCCCAAATCTTAGCTCCTTTCACTGCTTCTCTTGTGTGTTTCTCCTAGCCACAAAAGTGTTGACAAGTATGAGATTCAAAATTCTTGTGGAGTTTTTCGTTAACAAGAACTAATACAACGCCAGACTTCTGAGAAAGCCCCTTTTGAATACAGAATAAGCAGGTATATGAAGAGCCTTCTCTCCAGAGTTGGACTTGAGTTTTAATTTATGTGGAAGTTTAACAACATGGAGCTCTTGAGTCCCGGCCTTGTTGTTTTTCCATTTGTGCCTTTTTATTGGCTAATCCCTGTGTGGCTAACACAGGTCTGGCATGTTTACCTCTGTTCATTCCTAGGTCACCTCCAGCCCCTTGAGTTTTTCTCCCTTTTACTGTTTTCTTGTCTACTTGTCTATCTCCTTCCTTAGGTTAGTCTCTTTAGAACGAGATCAGCGTGACTGACCCCTGTGGGTACGTAATAGATTCCAGGCAGTACACACATTGTAGAAAGACCGGAAGCCGGGTGAGCACGGTAGCACACGCCTTTAATCCCAGTGCTTGGGAGTCAGGAAGATCTCTGAGTTCAAGGCCAGCCTGGTCTACAGAGTGAGTTCTAGGACAGCCAGGAGTACACAGTGAAACCCTATCTCAAAAAACAACAACAATAACAAAAAAGAAAGAAAGGAAGGAAGGAAGGAAGGAAGGAAGGAAGGAAGAAAGAAAGAAAGGAAGGAAGAAAGGAAGAAAGAAAGAAAAAAGAGAGAGAGAGCCCTGGGAAATTCTGGGAAGATGGTGTGGAACGCAGAGAAGGTACTTCTTCCCTTTAGCTATGTAACTCGGGTTGGATGACTTGCCCTCAGGGCTTCTCAGTGCCTTTATGTTGCTCATCATTTCCTCGACTCTTACTTATTCAGACAGATTTTTGCCTCTTAGGGAAAACTATCCAAAGAAAGGAGAAACTCCATTTAATTTTAAATGGAAAGCAGAAGAGTATCGGCAGTTACAGCAGCTGTCCGTGAAGTTACCAGGCCAAATGTCCATGACTCAGGTTTTGGACAAAATAAAATAGTCAAGCTTTCTGTTTATACTTAACTGTTTAGTTCCCTGCTTATCTTAAAGTGGCCCAGATAGCTTTAGCAATGGGTTCAAGGTCATGGGGTCAGAATGAGAAGCAAAATTAAAATGCAAGTTCTAAATTTTTCTTTTCCTTCAGACTTAGTTTCTTCTTTTCCTAATTTGGTTTTATGTGATACAATATTTTCCTTTTGAAGTATGTTCAATTTTTTTATTGTAGCATAAATAAAATAGTGAGACCTTTAATTCTGAGAAGTTTTCTGGTGAGGAGGGCTTGGTGCAGTCTATTAGCAAGGCAAGTTGTGAAATTGCCTTTCTATGAGAGAAGTGTCAAAATCACACCCCGGCTTAAACTGTCCTGGAGGAGGACAGGAAATGGAATGTAGGAGGATCCTGAGTCTGGCAGGATTCAGCAGGACCCTGCACACTGTGTTACTGCCCTTGGGAGTTCTGTCCCAAGGATATGCGTGTTTACCACTGTCCTGTGGGCGGAGGATGTCAGATCTGCACAACAAGTTCATTTATTTTGAGAGTTGAAGGAACTGGCTGAGCATCAGTAGTTATATGATGTTACTGTGTAACTCTGCTCACTCCATGGCCCTGGTCAGGCTCTTTATAGTCAGGCTGCTTCCTGGCTACACCAGAGATACAGTGAAAATGCCCAGGTTTAGATGCACAGTGGGCAGGCCGAGCACCAAGTAGGCCTTACAAAACCAAGTCTACGTTGGAAGGAGACTGAGAATCTTTATGGGGCTCTAATGTGCAAATAGAAAATAATACACTGCTTTCATTTCATTAAGGGATGTGCCTGTGTGTATCATGTATGTTCCCACAAAAGTCCTTGATGTGTGTGTGTGGCATATAGGGTGATGTGTGTACATCATGTATGTGTCATGTATGTTCCTGAAAAGGCCCTTGAATAAGGGTCATTTCTGAATTATAGTTAAGACCCTAAGGGGATTGTCAAAGACATCTTGAGGTCAATATGTTAACAGAACAGTAACACTTTTATAACTGCTTTGGGTAATTACAGGTTTTATAAATGAATATTACCTAAAGTTATCTTCAAGTCACATTTTTCTGCACAAGAGAAAATATTTCAATACTTCCTTTTATGTGGTGTGATCTGCGATACCAGTGCTGTTCCATGGGAATTAGGAGATCATACTATATAGCTCCAGTTTGTAAAGATGGAGAGTCAGCCAGGGTGTTCCTGGATCCTTTGCCACCTCCTTTAGTTCTAAAGTCACAGGCTCTGGGCAGGTTGGGGAATAGAGGAAGCCGTTACAGACTGAATGCCAAGTTCATGCTCGGGTTTTTTATATTCTCCGCCACAAAATTTACGTTGTGAAAATGATTTGCATAGAGGCCTGCTAATCTATCCTTTATTTATTTATTTTTTTTAGTTATTTAAAGTAGAGGCTGAGAGAAGGCTGTAGACACAGCACACAGAGTTCTGTATACGGTCCTCCAGCTTATGGTTTTTACACAGTGCCCCTTGACTGGTTGCGTGTTGGGTCCGCGGTTCTCAACCTGCAGGGTCACAGATCAGATATCTTGCGTGTCACATATTTACATTACAGCTCATAACAGTAGCAAAATTACAGTTATGAAGTAGGAAGGAAAATAGTTTTATGGCCAGGGTCATCACAGCATGAGGAAGTGTATTAAAGGGTCGCAGCCTTAGGAAGGGTGAGAACTACTGTGTTTGTATGAAGAGCAAGTGGAGGTAAAAACACAAGTCTGTTAAGGCAGTACCAGTGTGTCAGGGATCATGAATAAAGTTAGGATATGATTTGCATTTAAAACTGGTAAGCCCATATAGTAGTTCATGATGATGTTTAGTCTGAGGTGTTAAGAAGTTAGTAGTTCCGGTCATCTTTACGAATTGTTACTCTATTAGTTTCTTTTTTTTAAGGTTTTAAATTTAAATTAAATTTTCATTTAAATTAAGTAATGGGGGAATAAAAATGAAAAATAGGTGCACAGGTGAACACCACGTGAAGCATGTTTCTGTGAATGGCCCTGCTTGGTTAGGAATGGGAAGGTTGGTTCTGAGCTCCAGGACTAAAGCGTTGTTTTTCCCTGTAGGTTCGGAAACATGTGAATGATCTCTATGAAGACTTGAGGGACGGGCACAATTTGATCTCCCTTCTGGAGGTCCTTTCTGGAGACACCTTGGTGAGTTAGAAGCTTCCTAATTTATTTTGCGGAGCCTATAATTCTGTACACACGTGACCAGGCGTTTGCAGCATAGATGTTAGGTTTTTGTAGCATTTTTTTCTTCAAATTATGAACTTCAACCAGAAGGAAAGCGTTCTGGCCAGTGGCTGCCGCATCCCGTCTTCACGTGATGTGAATGTGGACCTGGAGATGTCTTTGTTTTTGTGATAGGTTCAATAATTAACATACTATTGGTCTTTGTGCTGCTTCTTTTTCTTCTTCTTTTTTTTAATACCTTTGGGTTTTTTCTTGTTTTTTTTTTGTTTGTTTGTTTTATTTTTGCTTTAAAAGAAGTCAGATGCACAATATAACCACACATGGAAAGACTCGTACATAGCAAGGAACCCAACTTCACTTTCTGAGAAGGGGGCTAACCCAGGTGTCGTCTCCCTCCTCCTGTGTGACCATTACTCCCTTTCTCGGTTATCCGTTCTCCCTCATTCCGTTCTGCTCATGCTCTTCTTTTCATTCCCGGTCTGTCTGTCTCCTTGCTGTCCTGTCTTCTGTCTGTTATATTCACTAGCCAAGGGAGCGAGACTTTTTGAAGAACTTACGGTTGGTGAGTGCAACAGCAGCATGCGAGTGTGCGCAGCATGAGGATGTGGAGGATGAGGACAAGGGGGTAGGTGTCCCCCGTAACTCACTAACCTGCCAGGCGGTGCGTGCAGCGCTAACAGGATAGGCCAGTGACTCACAGCTCCTGGAGAGGAAACACAGGGACCCAACCCTAGAGCAGGGCAGACGTGTGTGAAGAAACTGGACAAAAGGAATATTTTCTCTTTAAAGTTATCTTCAGAGCTGAAATGACTGACTTATTTAGATGTTAGGGTTGTTTTTTTTTTAAACACTGTTTATAAATTTAGAATCCTGATAACTAGTATACTAATTTTTATGCACATTCATTTCCTTCTGGAATTGATATTTCAAACTTGTCAACTTTGGGGGGTGGCATAAGGAGACTTTTATCAGTTTCCTTAAATCATACCCATTTGTGGGATGCAGAGGGGCAAGATTTTAAGTCTTGTAGCCCATATAATCACGGGGCCATCTAACCGACACTTAGCTGACATGGGCCAGCTACCTTCACAGAGACAGTTGAACTGCTCTGGTCATCTGCATCCCACCCCCGATTTCCTTGGAAATCATGCTTCTATAGTGTCAAATTTGTGAATTTTCAGCATCATTTCTACCCTGATGCCAAAATGATTTTTCCCGTTTATCTTTTCTCTTTTATCATGGCACCTTGGATGTCAGTGGCCTATATTTCAGAAGTGAAGACAGCCCTTGGCTTCTTTTCCCTTTTTGCTCTTAGACTATTTCATGTGATAAATTTCAGCCCCATTCTTTGTATGTTTCTTAAGGGTTTTCCAGGTCTGTTCCTTTTTTCTTCTCTCTGATAATGTGTACCATTTCCTAAGGAAAAGGACACTAAAAAAAATAACTATGATTTGACACTTTTTCTGGCACTGGGAAAACAATTGCATCACATCCAGTGAAACACAAAAGTACAGGTCTTTTCTGCCTAATATTAAGTCCACCTTTGTGTAAAAGCTGAAATAAATACAGAGGAAAAGTATCGCATAGTGTAAGTTGCTTTTTCCTCTCCTCAGTCACAGCTCCTCTTGTCTTTCTCCTTGGTGGTTTTGGTTTTTCATTTTTTAATACTAATTTGCATGCTGTTTTACCTCATTTTCATAAATCCATGAATACAATTAGAAAAACTGTCTTGTTGATAGTGTGTATTAAGAAGGTAAAATGGAGAGTTATTACTTATTATTTTTATAGTTAGGCCCCAGTTAGCCAAGATTGTCCTGTTAGTGAACACAGAAGGTCTTCCTGGTCTGTGGTTTTCCTCTTATTTAAATGAAGCATCTAGAATAAAGCATATGCTTAAAACATATTTAGAAAAAGTCCCTCAGACTTGAAATTCAGTCCAAGATGATAGAGAAGAGTTTAAAACTTCTTTAAAAAAAAAAAAAAGGACAAGCCTACCAAAAAAATAGTTTAAAAATATTAAGATGAACGGATAATATATTTAAATTAGCATGGTCAGAGGTGTTGTAAACTGTTGTATTTTTACGCCTTCAATTTTCTATCCTTAGCCCAGAGAGAAGGGTCGGATGCGCTTTCACAGACTGCAGAATGTACAGATTGCACTGGATTATTTGAAAAGACGCCAGGTATGATGTTTTCTAGACTCTAGCCTCGTGAACATAAGAGATCAAATAAATCTACATAGGACTATGTCAGGGAATGTAAAGGTTTAATTGGGCCTGAACTATGGTAATCATCTTGCCCGTTGCTGAGGCCAATGTTTAATGGTGTTTTCAAACATCTATTCCTAAGGAAAGGAAGTTAGTATTGAGTGTAAGCTCAGAAGAGTGGGGCGTGCTTTATTTCCCCTTGAATAAGGAGGACCGATTCTCCCTGATGGCATTAGAATGCTTCTGCCTAGGCAATTAGAGACATTTGAGTAGCAACAGGATGTCAAGAATGCCTGTCAATGCGACAGTTCCAGGCAGGGGTGAGGCAACACTTGACTTTTTACACTGCATATATTAGAATATTTTCATCGTTTATACCCTACTTCTAGAAACAGTGCTAGTGGTGTTTCTACTTACTAGTGGTACAACAATCTTCTATTCGTTGTAAGTAGAGAACCGGCTCGGCCTTCTTTGTGCTTCCATCATAGAGTAGCTGTATAATTCATAAAGAACAGAATTCATCCCTTGTGGTTCTAGACTCTCTAGAGGCTGGATATTGAAGGTCAAGACAATAACACTTGGCGCTGGCAAGGGTGGCCTGTATTCTCACATGACAGAAGGGACAGAGAGGTGGAAAAGTATCTCCCTTGCTTCATCATTCTCTATCAAATAAGGAAACAATGTTCAACATGATGGCGTGTCTTGGTATTTAGCTCTTTGTGTAAGAAGCCAGTGTTGAGCTCATTACATGTATGTACCTGAATGTCCCGGTTGAGCAGTTGATGAGCTTCGTTTCTGAGTGTAGTACTACTCTTTTATGTTTGCTCAGCTTCTAGACGCTCAGCGATTTAAATTCTTACGCTAGAAAGTAGTTTTTAAAAGTCCTTTATCAGCGGGGCGGTGGTGGCACACGCCTTTAATCCCAGCACTCGGGAGGCAGAACCAGGCGGATCTCTGTGAGTTCGAGGCCAGCCTGGGCTACCAAGTGAGTTCCAGGAAAGGCGCAAAGCTACACAGAGAAACCCTGTCTCGAAAAACCAAAAAAAAAAAAAAAAAAGTCCTCTATCGTAGACATACTAGCTGTTGAAGTTGTTGATGGCTCGGGTCTTTTTCTGCTTGATGGTAAGGGTGAAGTAAGCTCATTTCAAAAGAAAGTGCCCCCTGATTTTAAGGTCACAGAGTTTTACCCAGGCCCCATTGTTTGAATTGCATTTTTGACAAGTGGGCACTTGTTCTAGAAAACCACAGCAATACCCAGTTTAAACTGGTTTGTTTTCTAGACCACCGAAGGGGAGGGTGAACAGTATTCAGTGATCTTTGCACTCTTTGCATGATTTCGCATTTCCTTTGTCGGTAAAGAGAGCTCGTGACAAGTGTGTAATAAACTGTTTCTCTCTCCTTCTTCAATAAAACAGGTGAAGTTAGTGAATATTAGAAACGATGACATAACAGATGGAAATCCTAAGCTGACTTTGGGATTAATATGGACAATAATTTTGCACTTTCAGGTAAGTCCCGCTTGTCTCCGTCGCTGTTTCTGTGTCTTGCGGCTGGGTCTCAGGTGGTTCTCGGGAAGGTGTTTTATGTCCTCTGAGTGGAAAGCAAACTTCATAGCAGCACTACAGTTATTCTTCCTAGTAACACCGTGAGCCTGGCGGCTTGTCTCCTGGTCTCTGGGAGCTTCCATATTTGCCTGTAAAGGCCCTCTCTTGTAATCTTAGATTTGAGGGGTAGAGATCTCTTTTTCCTAAATGAACACGTTTCTTTTGTTCTTTGGGCAGTATTTCTTATTTTAGCTATGTAAAGATTTTATGACTCAAATCCTTACTTAAAATAATTTTATCCATATTGTAAATAAATTCAAATTTCCTCTAGTAGACACTAGATGGCAGTAGAGGTATTCCAGAAAGCCAGATTAGAAGAAAAGTATCACATAGCAGCCATGCCTTATGTAGATCTGAGATCTGAAACATTTTGAAAGAAACCTGTAGTTGGATTCTCGGTGACTCACCTTTGTAACTTGCTTTAGTTCGTTAGCTGCTCATCTCACAAAATTTTTGTCAACCCTCGGTAATACTGTGCTTAAAGGATCTTAAAGGAAGAAAATAAACAGCTTACTAGCTTCAGAAAGGAAGTGGGATTTTAAATTAAATCTTGAGGGGGGAACAGGTAAAATGTATTAAAGTAATAATGGGAAATAAAGGAGCTCATTTGGGAATGGATCTGAGCCATATGAAAAGTTCTAGAGAGGAAGTAGCCTTCTTAGGAGGGAAGCACCAGGGCCTGATAGGCAGCTGAACTGTCCCAGCAGTAGGGAATCGAGGCAGCTGGGAAAGTGGGGACAGTGCTAACCAGCCTGCCTATAGGACTGCTAATGAAGATGTCCAGTCACCTGGGTTGTGAAGTCAGGGCAACCCAGGAAATAACTCAGTGCAAGCCAAGACTCCAGAGCGCTAAGGGTCGTCATTACCAGAAGAGCCCACCCTGAAAAGAACTAAGAATCCTCAGCACTAAACCAAGGCAAGGCTTTGCATGTGGGACACAAGCCAGACCGTGTTACCAGAATTATATAAAGTAGAAGTGACCCGAGAATTATTTTCATGGAGAGTGCCCTGGCTGTTATCTCCTAGAGCTCAGTGCATTAGGTCCAGGACTTTTAAAATTAGGGTTGAAACTGCGAGGACCCAGGTGGACAAGTCTGCGGCCCTGATGGAGGGGGCCAGGTACTTCATCACGAGCTGATAAGGCAGGCTGTGTCTGAAGGTGAATAGCACTCTAGTGGTCGCCATGGGGCAGTCGAAAGGACTTCACAGGAGGGAAACAGAATTTCATTCTTGGCTTCTTTTACTCTTTCTTGTCATGGCCACTCTGACTGGGCTTGAGGGAAGAAATGTTTTAATAAATCAAACCTGATAGATTAGCGAGATGGCACAGTGAGTGAAGGCTCTTGTTGGCAGACCCGAAGGCTTGACTTTGATTCCTGGAGCCCGTGTGGTGGAAGGAGAGAACTGAGTCGAGTCAGCGGTCCCCGACCTCCAGGTGTACCCCCTCTAAGAAAGAAAATGTAGCCGGGCGGTGGTGGCGCACGCCTTTAATCCCAGCACCCGGGAGGCAGAGCCAGGTGGATCTCTGTGAGTTCGAGGCCAGCCTGGACTACCAAGTGAGTTCCAGGAAAGGCGCAAAGCTACACAGGGAAACCCTGTCTCAAAAAAACCAAAAAAAAAAAAAAAAAAAGAAAAAGAACGAAAATGTAATGATGTTTTAAATCTCTAATTCTATGTAAAATAGATGGGGATGCACTAGGTAGTCAGAGTGAGGGAGAAAAGCCAAGAAACAGAAGTGATTTCAGAGGGAGGGATATCGGCCAGGTGGCGGTGAAAAGTGTATCCAAGAGGTGACAATTTGAAAAAGGAAGAAAGACATTTGGCCACAGGGTATAGGAAATGGAGACAAGGGCCCAGGTTAAACTCTTTAAGACATCAGAAAACAAATTGTGAGATCTAGGGTTGGTAGTAGGGGAAAAATGGTTGACCTTCTGTATGGGTTTGAAGGGTAAGTGAGCTAGCCTGTGTGCCAGTCCGCTGAGCAGAGCAGACCTGGGAAGTCAAGGTGCAGGGATTTATGGACACGAAAGTGGTTGTTGACTGTCGGAGAGAAAGGGTCCCCTCTGTGGTGAGCCCCTGATGACGGGCGGGAGCAGGTCTTGCTGAGGAAACAGAACAGGAATGACTATTCAGGGAGATGTGCGAAGCAACAGGAAATGAACTGGTGGAACCATGGAAGGGAACAAGAGGAGAAAAGGGTAGTTGACAGTCTGAAATGCCACCTGAGATTGTGGGGAAAACATTCCCCAGCTGCTTGCAGCAGAAACAAGAAAATAACAGATGGGAATGTGGGCAAGCAGGAATTAGAAGCAGCATGTGTAGACTCTGTATTTGAGGGAACTTAAAGCAAGGGGTCATTTAAGAAGAATTACATGTTAAGCCGGCCATTGTGGTACTGCTTGTATCTCAGCCTGTATCAGAGGCAGGAGGATCAAGGGTTTGAATATGGTTGTATGGGTAAAATGTAAATGAAATAAAGCTTTTCTTAGTGCTGTGCTAATCGAAGATTCGAACACCTCTGGCTGTGCCCAGAGAGAAGAGTGGTGAGCACCCTCGCCCAGGGTGGCCCAGCCTCTTGTTTCCTATACTCGCTGCATAAATAAGGCAAAATCTTCAGAAGAACCAGTGGTCTGTTTTTAAAAATACTGCTGTTGAGCATTACAAATTGAACCTGTTTTTTAGTCTGGCGTTTGGAAGGTAGGAATTATATTCCCGACAGTCTCATGTCCTAAAGCACTGTATGCTAGATCATGATGAGGTGTGTTGTGCTATCTGTTAAAGTATTATTTTAAGTTCAATGTAATCAAGGGGGTTGCATCCATTGGCAATAAAAATACAAGCTGAAGTGTAGGAAGAGAAGTTGAGAGGCAGTTCCAGGCCTGGCAGGGTATTAGAGAAGAAGACAGTGAGAGGTACCAGTTACCAGGCAGATACAAAAGTGGAGCCATTTTTGGAACATGTGACCTAACCATGGACAGTTGCTTAGTTTGGCAGGGCCAGAGGAAGGGTGGAGGGAGTGCCAATCACGGGTTGCTTCTCCACCCTGTCAGTACAAATAGCAGCCATCCTACATTTAAATGCTGATCCATTGCCGTTGAAGACATTGGAAACCAAAGGACATACCAACCCAAGACTGTCACTGGATAATGTTTAATTTCCCTTTTAAATAATTAAGAGAACCCTTACAATACAGCTGTGTTACTGACAGACATCTGCACCATCTGTGTGAACTTGACCATTTCAGTGGATAGCCCTCCTCAGGGAAATACAGTGAGTTCCGGCTTTGATTGGTGGAAGACTACCTCTGAAAGGCAGTCGTCCACTTTCCAAGTGACTTTGGCCTGTGTGTCAGCCACTGATTTTCTCTGCACCATGTCGATGACTCAGTGTCAGAAATATGCACAGCTCAAAGTCTCAGTCTCCACACTGATTCCTTCAGTTCCACCGTGACCCTACTAAAGCTGTTTAATATGTAACCCAAGTGTAATTACAGAGCATAAAGTTTAACTGCCCTAATGTATGTGTCCAGTGTGCGGGCACTTCCCTTGGCTCAGGGTTCCACCTTTAAATCACTCCATGTATTCATCTGCTCATGTGACAGTCCCAGTGAGCAGATACCTTAGAGAGTTATTATTTGAAACTGTTTCCTGCCCCGTTAAAGGACTGGCTTTAGAGAGGATTAAAGTATTTTTGGCATGCAGTGTTTTGTCTTCCCTTCAACCAATTGTGGAATCCTAGTTTTATTCCTTTTTTCTTCTGAGTTAGTTTTAACATAGACTCTTAAGCTTTGTGTGTAAGCCCTAAAATTAGTTGGTGAGTTTTAGGGGTAGGGGGAGTCACACAGGAGAGGTTTTTCGGAACTCGAGTTTGAAAGGCACTTTGGCCGGAGCTTGAAGGACACTTTACCAATAAGTCTCTGGCTGTGTTTACTTTCCGTTTGCTCAGCCTCAGAGGTTAATGCAAGTGGTGATAGTGTGTGTGCATTTCAGAAGGCGCTGTGTTAATCTGTGGGCCGTGGTCTCTGGAGTGAGTCTCGGGGTTTGCCTTGGAAGCTCACTGGTGTCTGATTTGACTGGGAGCAGTCATGTTTGTCTGGGAGGACTGGTGGCCAGGAATAAGCCACAGTGCCTAATAAGACACAGAGACCAGCTGGCAGGGTGCCACGGCATTTCTTGCAAGTGGTTTTCTCACAAGCAACATGGCTTCAGGCTGAAGAGGATGGTCACCCGGTCTGCTAGGGATTACGGGTCAGAGTGGAATCTCACTCAGGACTTGGTGGAGCCGGCCCCGGAAGCCCCGGATTTTGAAATGAGTGAGTTTGTGGAGCCGTGAGTGCCTGTGGATCAAATGGGGAATGTCTGTGGCTGTGTTCGGGCTGAGAAAGAAGAACAGTATTTTGATCCTGCCAAAACTCCCTTGAGCCCTGAGAAATCCTCTCCCGGAAGAAAATATTTCAGAAGAAAACGGTTCCAGAAAGCTGTAGGTGACACTGATCCTGTGGGGCACAGCAGTGGAAGAGAAGGCAAGAAGGGTGGCGGTCAGCCTGCCAGGGAGCAGCCCACTGTGTCATCCAGAGAACTGGTGCCAGAAGACCCCGTCCCAAGCCCCACGCCGGAGGCTGGTGGGCAGCCAGGGAGGACGGTGGCCGCGGACCCCAGGGAACAGAAACCTCCGCCTAGTGCTGTGGACAGTGGCTCCTGCCCAGTGACAGTTTCCTCTGCCCAGAACAACGACTCAGAAGGACAAGTTAGTGCCCCCGACAAGACGATTTCAGAAGAAGATAGCTCTCCATATTGCACAGAGAGGGAGAGACATTTAGATGATGTCAACACAACACAGAGAGCATTCCAGAGAAAAGACGATGTTTCTACTGTCCAAAAGGCAGCCAGCTTAAGTTCCGTTCT